GTACTGTGTGTGAGATGGTCTTGGTAGACTGTGAGAGTGCTGTCTGTGATGGTCGTGATGGAGAGTAATCGTGCTGTGTGTGTGTGAGATGGACTGAGAGTGTGCTGTGTGCACGATGGTCGTGACGGAGAGTAAGCGTATTGGGGGGTGTGGTTGTCGTGGGGTAGAGTGGCCGTGCTGTGTGTGATGGCCGTGGTGGACTGTGCACGTGCAGTGAGTGGGCTGCGAGTGTGCCGCGCGTGAAGGTCGTGGCGGCGTGTGCGCGGCGGCGTGCCTGGAAAGTGAGCATGTTGACGACGCGCAGCGGGCGCGCGCGCGTGGTGAGCTGCCCCACGACGAGCCCCTCGCGCCGCCACCAGGGCAGGCGCTTGGGCGGCCGCCAGCGCGTGGTCGGGACGCTGGGCGGGATGTCGGGGAGGCGCGGGAACAGCGGCAGCGGCACGCGCGCCTGCGAGATGGGGTGGATGCCGTACAGCACCTGTCGACAGACGCGCACGCCGCCCTTAGCACGGTCTCACTACACAGGATACTCTCATTTAGAGTGAGATATGTCGCAGTCTCAGCTAGCTAGAATTCTCGCGACTAGCTTCTCTGATGGGTGGTGTTCAGTAGTTACTGCGATCAGTACCACCCGAATGTCGGAGCAATAACTTCGCCAACGGGCCATGGACCGCGCGCCTTATTTTCCAACTCTTCGTTGTTCTATCCCACTTATATTTACGTGCACTACACTCCCAAAGCAGTCGGGAACTCTGACCTTGTCCAGACTAGTTCCGCTGGCGGAGATTACTAGTGGCAGGAAACAGCATTGTGTCATGTAGGTCGGCGATGTATATCACATTTTAGAAGGAAAGAACATTGCAAACTCCCATAGAAAAGTTTTCACTCCACCATTTGTACTTTCATGTCAGTTACAGATGACCTACCCGGAAACACGTCGTAATCAATGCAATGGCAAGCGATCCTAGAAAGTGATTGTCTTCGATGAGGACGCAAATCGCGCAAAATATTTCAATTTTTGCAATTTCAAAAACATCTGGGATTTGAACGGAAAAGAAACATGCATCATAGTCTAAGTCCTTTATGCACTCCGAGCTCAAGATTTAATAAACAATTGTTGCTATTTTTTGAACATTTTGAAAATGTCACAGGGGCTTTATGTAATTTCTCCCCAATATTCCCGAATAATCCCCCAGAAATTAAAATATTGGTTTCAAATTCAAGGGGTCGCGACATCAGGCAAATCGATCCAATTTAGGTGAAAATTCTGCTTACAGTTAAGCCGCTAGTTGTTCACAAAGGGACAGACAGACGTTTTGCCGTCAATCGATTCTTCGGTACCAAGGATCCACAAAACATTTATTCTGACTACATAACGTGTGAGAGGAAGTAATTTACTATATGCAGGGAAAAGATTTATCCACTTTTGTGTTTCCAGAGCCCGGCAATAAGAGTTTTTCTGCCGAAAATGCGCCATTTTCCCGCAGCATTACAATACTTTCTCTATACTGCATACGCAGTACCAAGAGTGTAAAAATTGAGGAAGAATATAGCACTAGTGGTGCTGCAACAGCACATACATACCTTTTCGTTTTTTCTGTAACGGGTTCGTAGTACTCTTATTGTTATATTGCAAATTGTATCCTTCTAAATCTTCAGCCATTTCGTGGAAAATTTATCTTACGCAAAAGAGCGTGGATATCCGAATTTGCAATTTTCAAAAGTTCAAATGTTTTAAAGATAATCGGCCTTATACCATTTTTCAAGCGTACATTGCTTTATTAGAGAAAATACTTTTAAGAAAAAAATGTTCTTTGATATTGATGGACTTGACTCTGGCTTGTAAGTTACAAGTCCGAGACTTAACCCCCAGAGCACGACGCCAAGAAGTTCATCGGCACAAACATTCTAAATACTTTATTACTACTAAATACTTTGCTCAGAAATTTCAGAAAATGTTCTACAAAGAGATACAAATTTACTCCGCAATTGGAAAAACTTAACATTAAATATTTTAAAGATCTTGCTTTGAGAAACAGACAGTAGCGTAATGAAGCGCCAGAAGTGCTGGAGTGCGGGTCCGCCCGCAATACTTTTATCCGGGCCCCCTTTATAAAATGAATTGCAAACACAAGTAGTGTTGATTGACCTGATCAAAGAACTAATTATGGACAATAAAATTTATGTGAAAGAAAAACCTCTATCTTTAATTTTGTAGTTGTAGGTAACGGGGAAAATTAAAACTCTTGCAATTTTGAAGTTAACCGTGCAAATCGGACATATGCCACCTTTATAAGTATTATTCTCTATTTTCACAAAAATACTTGGAGCCTTTTTTGATACATTTTTGAAAATGCACCAGAGGCTTCATGTAAAGTACCCCCAAATTTTAAAGAATGTTTTTCAAAATCTCGAAGCTTCGACTCGAGCTAGATGGACAGGGTTTTTTTCAATTTGGAAAACATCCTACGTATGGTTTAGGAAGTAGTAGTGTTCACAAACGGACGGAGTGACCGACAGACGGACGTTTGAAAAAAAACACCTTTTTGGTTCTAGGGAATCCCAAAACGTGTATTTCCGTAAAAATCTCGAAATCGATTTTCCACAGCATTATATTACTTTCCCTCTTTATTACTCCGTATACACGTATCTATACGAGAAAGTAAAAATGTACTTTCGGCGGCGGTAGATGCCAGCAGACAAGAATAGATAGCAGTGGCAAGTTCGAATAGCTAGCCGAAACCAAAGGAAATAGAAAACTAAAACGGGAAAGTCTATGCCATTGTGTAGTACCAATCATCAGTTACGTGTCAATACTTTATCTCTTACAAAATTGTGATTTTTATACTGTTTCATTTACAGAAAAAAATCGTAAAAACATCGAGCTCTAAACATTGATGTTAAAAAAACATCGGTTTTAAAACATCGACATCGATGACGAATCCCAAGTTTCCAAGTCTACTTCCGAGAATACAAATGAATTTTAAGGAAAGTAATAGTTCGGGTAAAAGTAATAAAAAATAATCAGGATATTTTGAAGGCTAGTAACAAAACTAAAGCAATGTGGAATATCGTAAAAAATACGAGCACATTTTCTCGATACTTTGTAGACAATTTTGTTTTAAAAGATAATAAAAGAGAAGAAAGTAATCCGGAAAAAGTTGCCAATAACTTCAACCCACACTTTTCCAGAATTGCGGCTAATCTCGGGAAGGGACTAAAACCACAAAATTCAACATCATACGCTTCATCCCCCAAAAATTTGACACGATGTTTATTTCCGAAACTTCTTCAAATCCTCAGAATAGTCAGTAAACTAAAAAATAAATATTTATCTGTGTTGAATAAATTTCGGGATTATTTATTAAAAACTCGTGCTCCTGTCTTTATACATCCGTTAACTCATATTTTCAATTATTCTTTATGCACAGGAATATTTCCAGATATTTTCAAAACAGCAAACATTAAGCCACTTTTTTTTAAAAAAAGGGAACAAAAATGAAGTTCAAAATTACCGGCCAATTTCTCTTTTGTCAGTTTTCTCAAAAATATTAGAGAGACTTTTCTATATGCGAATGGAAACGTTTCTCGGAAAAAATGAAGCGTTTTCAGACTCGCAACACGGGTTTAGAAAATCAAAATCTACGGAAACTGACATTTTTCTTTTCTTAAATCTGATGCTTCATCAATGAACCAAACTGAAGTACTCATTGGAATCTTTTTAGATCTTTCGAAAGCTTTTGACGTAATTGATCATAACACACAGCTCTCAAAATTACCTTTATATGGAATTCGTGGTATTGCCCTAAACTGGTTAACTCGTACCTTAAGAATCGATCTCAAAGAGTATAAATACCATACTGGCACGAAAGGACATTATTTATTTATATTTCCAATTTTCTGCCAATTGAGCATGGGGTCCCGCAAGGTTCGATCTTAGGTTCTATCCTTTTTATGTTTTACGTAAACGATATGCCCTCGTCAATTAAAACTGGAAGAATAGTTCTGTTTGCCAGTGACACGAATGTTCTTTGCAAAAAAGAAACAATAAATAATGCGTTTTCAGAAGTTTCAAATTAGTTTCGTAACAAAAAATTACTAGTTAACGAAGGAAAAACAGTTTCAATTCACTTTTACATTTGAAATCGGCAATCGTACGCTCTATTGAAAATGAACAAAAAGTGCCCTCTATTAAAGTGAACATAAATAAACGACCGAAAAAAATGTATTTAAGGTTTAAAGCTTGTCCTAGCAAAATAACTTTCAACCTTGGCCATGCAGCTTATGCACACTCCAGGATATTGTCACGCTTACCAAAATATATCTTAAAGCCGCCATTAATTGCTGGTAAAAAGGTTATAAACTATATATGTTACTGTAATAACTGAATATATGTTTAATTCACAAGTATGGTATTTTTACCCGATGTTATATTTTTCTATTAAATGTAAATAGTAACTATATATAGATTAAAACATAGGTAAGCTCAAGTAAGTGGACTTGTGCTCTCATGTAACTGGAAGAGACTATTATGTTCTTCATGTAATATATATTTTAAAAATAATAACTCCCGAAAGGCCTAAACAGCCGAATGGGTAGGAAATTAATTTTTATTTTTAAATTTAAATGTTTCCAACGAACAATTTCATTACTATATGTAGTGATATTTACTTACATCACCGGTACATTTGTCGAACAAATGGCTTATATCTTTTCCGGCAAGAGCCAAAAGAAAGCGAGTGCTTGAATCTGCTTTGTGTTCTTTGATGACAGATGTCAAGTCAAATACTTTTCCCCATATAGAAACCCAAATATCATTTTCCTTATTATGAAGAGCTACTTCTCCGGGGGTGAAGAATGGTAAATTACTTTTCGGCATTTTTTGAAAAAAATTCTTTTGTCGTTTTTTAATACAGGTAGAGCAACGTAGCCTTAACGTTATTTGGTTGTCATCAACTAATTAATGCAAACAAGAGGCAGTTATTGTGGTAGCTGCATTGTTTTATAAAAAAATGAAGTTCGCGCGTTAAATAAAACTTTGTAATAACAAGGAATATAGTAGTCATTTGGTTTACCAAAAATAATTTTAAATATTTAGAAAGTGGCATTGAAACCTCTTAGTCGCAGTTTTTAAACAGAAAGCATTAAAATAGTCAGAGTGTCTCGTCTGATTTGTGCCAGGTTTCACCCACACTTCCGGTAAGTTGCACGTTTCAAGAAAAGGAAGGGACGAGGAAACCCAACTCCGGAAACATTGGGCTCTGCCGAATATTTAAGGTTTAGTAGAATTTTGCTAGTAATATGGCAGATGGAGCACCAAAAAAGGTAAGTAATTACCATTTCTTCGTAAGAGTCTATGTCTTTGATGAGAAGAGTTAATGAGAGGTGCATTGCGTCGTTAGTGAATTGTTTAGGGGTTAGGAACGTTGTGCGGTGAGGTAGGTTTATTGTTTGCGACTATCATTTCATCATAAAGGGAACAATATTATCGATTGATAGGTAGTTGTAATTACTTGGAAATGTAAAAGTCTTCCTTAATTTTGGTGTGAAGAAGGGAAATATTAATGTTGGGCTTGACAAATGCTGTATTCTATGCTAAAAGTGGTTGACACAGTGACAAACATTAGAGAACTATTCGTGTGAAGCCCATTTCAGTGCTCATTGATTAGTTGTATCATTCACTTTTGTTTCAGGTTCAGGAGTACAAAGATTCTTTAAAAACCAAGGTGAGAAATCCAAATTTTAGGACATAGCATGACAGTATTACATTACAACATATAATGTTTTTGTGTCGGTAGTGAGTTCAATTATAAGGCATGACATAATTGCAGAGTAATAATGTTGAATTATATTTTAGTAATTGCTTAGAAAATTTTGAGCACTGGTGATGTAACACAAGTAGATTTGGAAAGCAAGCATGATTACTTCTTGTGGACCATTGAAACAGCTTGTTGATAGGAAGCAACAATTGGATGTGTATATAATTAAATAATTTCTGCAGAGTGTGCTAACAGTGGTGTTGGTTGATAGCTTGATTGTAATGTTAAAATAACCTAAAGTAAATAAATTGTCTCATCTTGTACCTACAAAAATAGTGACATTGTTTTCTGATACTGCACAACAACCATAGGTTTCTTTGTGATATGTATTATGAAAATGTATTCTAAATAGTTTATTTTCCTTAAATTTTTGATGTTTTGGTTTTGTGAGGTGCGCAAGTTTCTCAGAATTTGTTAAAAGATTTATAAGTATCATTATTGATAGTCATTTAGTTTCACAGATGTTTATTTGCTGAAATATAATATTGATTACATTATAAATATCCTTAAACTGGCATTATTGATAAGTTGTACTGTAGCATATTAATTTGTGTCAAATGTCAAATTTTAATGTCAGAGTTAAAAGTTAAAGTAGTTATCAAGACTTATTAAAAATAAGTTCTTGCTAGAGTTTTACTAGAAACTGTTATTTAAAACTATTTTCTGTAAATTCCAAAGGAATAATTTCAGACTTAGAATCTAATTCCTCTAAATATGAAAATAAAAACAGGCATGAAGAAAAGGAAGTAATCCTATCATTGATCTTTCATCTGTTAATGTGGTTGTGCTCCGTAGCAAAATTTTATTGGGCAACAATACTGTTCTTTACCCTTGAGTACATAAAAGAAATTGAATGATCTTTAAAATGCATCTGAGTACTTAATATGAAGTTCATTAGGAATTATTTTTCCTTTTGAAGTAACTTTTATGGATTGGGTTTGCTTGCATACAAGAGAAAGTTCTTTACTTGGAATTTCGGGATACGTCTTGTCTTTTTCTTTTCCCTCATTTACTTCTGCAAATTTGTAACAGGATTGTGAGTGAAGACAGAATTAGTTGTATTTGAAATGTAATTGTATTTGTTTATTATCCAGGTCTAATTTATTTTTTTGAATGTGAATTTGGGAATTTTTGATTTTTTTGTAAATGCTGTTTGCTATTGTTGTTTGAGAAAGGATTTTAAGATGTAGATTTTCCTTCGCATTTTGTGTATCATATTTGGAGGCTGTTAGTAGTTCTCATTGTAAGTATCCACTAATTCCAAAAAAGAATACGTGAATAAATTGAATTGTCTAATAGAGATATTGAAGAGCTTTTGAGAGATTCAGTGAAAACAACAAAGGGTGTGTGTTGTTGGTTCTTTTTTTTTTTTTCATGGGAAAGAAACATATTTTATAGTAATACTTTTATATCATTTATGAAATAAAACAACTTTAAGTCGATAAGAACTTTCTCAAGAGGTGTGTTTTCCTTGGCAGACAATTTTAGTAATTAAAGGTATTATTAATTAAAAGTTTAGTTAATTTCATATGACATTAATTTAAAAAAAATTATAAACTAGGCTTAAAATTAATAAAGTTATTATTCCAAAAATCCAAACTATAAATACAATTTCTCCGCTTTTACAATGATATATAAAATAAAGTTATCAAATTTTCTTTTAGTTGAGTCAGCGAGTCTTCACAATGCATGAAAATTCACGTCTTTATTTATCCAATATACTGAATTTTTGTTTTAAGGTTGTTCTCTGTGAGAAATCTATTCTTGCAGAGTGTAATTAGCAATTGAAAATATGCAAGAAAACATTTTAATAATAGCTAAAAGATATTTCTAATTACAATATTCAGATGATTCAAAAATTAAATGGATTGTACTAGGATTTTATAAATGACTTAACATTAATTATTAAATTATATAATCGGTAATGTGAAGTAAAAATTGATTTGATCAATGTAATAATTTATATTTTATAGTAACAACAATAATAATATAATAATCGGTCTTTATTAATAGAGAGATTCAGGCTGTTAGACTTACTCTTCCACATAATCTTGTTCAACATGTGTATTATATTTTATGCTCTTAACTTTAACTCTCGTGACTCCAAGCAAGGTACCATTGTGACATACTCTTTTTAGCAATTGGGACGGGGGCTGATGGCCAAGAACATTGACAAAATTGAAAACCTTAATACTTGTAAAAAGAAAAAAAAAAAAAAAATGGTAAAATGAAATTATTTACAACATACAGATATTACATACTTGTTCTACTTCTACAGACTTGGTCAAATTATTGGCAAAATTATTCTTTATACTCTAAATTATGACTTTTAAGGGTAAAAGCATACTAGTTGACTGGGGAAAATCATATTTCTGTAATGTGTTATGTACACATTCGGAAGTGCAGCCCTTGATTGAAAAGTTTATGTAAGCAAATATGGTTTTATAACACTTATATCCACTGCAATGACAATCATGATAGCAATATTTTTATGTTTTTGGAGGTGGTGTAATAATTTTCTCAGCGCTTGCCCATTTCTATTCATCAATCCACATTTGGGAGATCCACAGATGTGGGTGCTTGGGGTGTGCAGCAGGTATTGGTATGGCTCACAGCATGAGGGTCCATGAAAGTGTGCAGATGGGCAAGGCAACAGACATGTCTCCACGAAAACATGCCGGAATAAAGTGTTACTACAATTCAGTAATAATACCATGACTGAAAAAAGTCATAGTCATATAGTAGGAGTAGTGTGGCGTGTGTCATTTGTGAAAAAGTAAAAGGAAGAAAAGTGGACCACTCTTCAGAGAAATGGAAAAAGTGGACAAACAAGCAGTACAACTGAAGTTTCGGTTGGTCTTTTGCTAAGAAAAGCATCCATAAATAGATAACTCCAAAGGGTTGTCCAAGAGGATGGTGTACAAATTCTCCAAGTACTGTTCACTGCAGTGTTTGAAGGTGGCTTAAAGGCATGGCAATCTTGCAATAAACAAAAATTGACTGCTTCCATGAACAACTTCAACAAGCTAAGTTGCACCAGAGGTGGACAATACAGTAGTGGGAGAAGTTATGGTCACTTATACAATTCATAAATAGAACTTTGGTCTTCCTTGATTTTGGAATACTTGTAATGGAAATAAGAGGGTGCCTACTGTTTTAATGTGCAGATAAAATATTTTTCACTAAATTTGCTTCAGGTGTATTCAGTAATGAAACCGTCATCTGTGCTATGGATGTTAGCCCCAATATGTTTGAAAATGACTAGGGGAAGCAGGCAATTTTAGTGTCAAATTTTAGTAGTTGCACCACACATTCTTTCTTAAAAAAAAATGAGTGGTGCAACTAGTGAAAATTTGCCATTTAAATGAGGATTTATGGGGTTATTTCAGTGTATCAACAGAACAAAATTCACATACTAGAAGGCAGTATGAGTAGTGAACAATATAAAAAGGTCATCAAAGACTACAATGGATGAGAGTGGTTTCCAACTGATGATGGGATATTCTTGCATGATGATGATGATGATCCTTGTCACTGATCAAATCTATGAATAGCGAATAGGATTCCAGTGATATTTGTCTTCTGAACTAGACAGGAAATATAAATCTAATAGAATCACTAAGGAGTGTTCTTAAAATGAAAGTGAAGGCAAAGCATACAATAAGGAAACAATTGGAGTACAGCATACCATGAAAATGTCTAAATTGCTGAATTATGCAAAAAACTTGTTCAAGGTATGCACAAATGAATTAAATTGTTTTTTCATGCTAAAGGTGCTCACACCAAATGTAAATAAATTTGTAGGTTCTTCGATTTTTAGTTTAGTTCTAATGTTTTAAGGCAATAAAGAGGTTGTTTTATTTATTTTTTTTTATTATTTTTTTAATACCAATTTGTTAGTAATTGTCCATGTCTGTAGAACTAATGATGTTTTCAATCAATTATATTAAAGAATATAACATCACAATCAGTGCAGATTAAGGTTTGAGTTTTGTAACCATGTGACAAAATGTTAAATGTGAGACTTACATACCTTGGAAAATAATAGAGAGAGGCTGTGCTTAATGTTATTTAGGAGGTAATTTCAAGCTCTCGTTACACTTACAGTGAATGATTTGGTTTAGTATATAGTGTTGTTTTGGTATTTGTAGTAATGATTTGTTGAGTCTAGTTGATAACATGAGGCCTAAACCAATTTGTTATGTGTGGAAGATGTTTTGCTTTTAGATTTTTGATTAGAAGAGAGAATGCAATATCTGCTTGTTGCTTAGCTTCGAGAATTGATTACATTTAAAATACAATAGTTGTTTACGTGATTGTATTGTGTTTAGACTGTAAATAAAGAAAATTATAGAAATTTACTTTAACAAATCAGTCATTGTGTATCAGGATTAAAAAGTTGATTACAATGCTTGTTGCCCAATTTAAAATAATCTTGGTGAATTTTCTAATTTACAGGCAGGTACTAATGTGCGCGTGTGTATGTGTGTGTGCCTTGCCTTGTATAGAAGCCCTGGTCATGATAGCATCCATATTTCATTTACAGTTATACTTTTGACAGCATTATTTTGGAATTAGCACTTGGAAGCTATTTTCCTCATATTTGAATAATGATAAAGGAAGATATTCAAAGTTTGTGGTTGATGTTTAACCCTTTATCGATCAGTTCAGCAGGGCATAAAATTTGGAGAAAATAAGTGCGAAATCTTTTCATTTGGACCCAGATGAACACAAAGTAACAGCTGGTTTGTCATTTTATAGACAGTTTTTAAAAACTATTGTGGTAAGTATGCTTACCAGAGAACATTAATTCATTTGGTCAGACTGGGGTGTTCTGTCGAAAGTATGCTTACCACTTTTGTTTACAAAATTATAGCAAAATAAATTTGGCTGGTAAACCTGTACTA